TTTCATTATTTTCGTGTGAAATTAGTTAGTTTAATGTGTTTAGGGAGGATTTTGTAGGCAACCATTTCTAGCAAGACTTTGGAGCAAAAACTATAATTTTGGAAGCTTAAGGGATCGAAATGGATGGAATTATCATCTCAGCAAAATCTCAAGAACTCACTTTGTCATTTCATCAAACACCTAGAGTGCATCTATATAAGTGTCAATTTATACCCACAACTAGACTCAGTGACCAGCGTCAGAAAGATAGAATTAGAGAAATTTACCATTATTTTGGATCCGAAATCGTACGAAGACTGGTAGAGGTGCTTGTTGATGTGCTTTTGCAGCTGCCTATTTCTTGAATAAGTAGACGATGTTGAGAGTATTTGTCCCACATTGAAATGTTAAGGGACCTAGCCTGGGTTTATAAGGAGTTGGGCTACTCCCCCCATTGTCAATTGGTTTTGGGGTGGAACCTCAACTTTCTTCATGGTATCAGAGCAAGACTTCACGTGTTGGGCCTAACGGCCACACATGCTCTCACGTCACCCAATATGTGTTGTCCACATGTTAGGCCTGAAAGTTCGCCGCACGTGCGGGGGCGTGTTGAGAGTATTTGTCCCACATTGAAATGTTAAGGGACCTAGCCTAGGTTTATAAGGAGTTGGGTTACTTCCCTCATTGCCAATTAGTTTTGGGGTGGAACCTCAACTTTCTTCAGATGTGACACTTGCTAATATTGGAGAAGAGGTAGCTGTGCAGTTGCCGCAATTGATGAGGTTTATTGGGTGCTCAAGAGAATGGCGCGAATCTTTTGAGTGAAAAGGATATTGAGTTGCATGTTGTGGTACCACCAACCATAAGTTGGAGAACCCATTTTTGCATTTGCTGAGATGTCAATACATGAGCTGAGGGATTATCAATGTGGGCTCTACTAGTTTTGCCAAATTTTATCTAACCCATGGGCCAATTTTATATGTTTTCTACTTGGAATTCATTTCCAATAATTCCCTCTTTGGTTCTGTATCTTCTTTTTAGTTTAGGTATTCCTTTGGGCTTTCCTATTTTCCCTTTATTTCCCAATTATTCTCTAAAAATATATTTTCCTTATTTTTGGAGGATTCCTTGGGCCTATAAATAAAAAGCTTTAACTTAAGAACCAAGATCTTTTCTACCATATATTTTTCACCATATTTTAATACACCCACAAATATATCAGAGAATTTAGAGATCAAATTCATCAGCCAAATAGGTTTTATGACAACAATTCTTTTGTTAATCTTTTCTTTTGTCATGAACTAATTTCTCTTACTAGGGTTACGATGTAGCCTAATCATGAACACTTAATTTTTATAGTTATATTAATTTTTTATTACTATTCCATGTTGAGTATTTGTTACTATTCTTAATGCCTTAAATATCTAGCTAATATTTAATTGATGATCCAAATGGAGACCGAGAGGAGATGTTTAGTGTTTGCTTCTCATAACAAATACCATGTCTTGAATGAGTGCCTGAGACGGACTAATATGACTCATGCAGTTTTCTTGCAGGTTTTCATTGAACTTAATGGGTTCTTGATTTTCTAAATCTGTTGATCGAGAGAGAATGAGTTATTAATCAAAGAATACTTTCGGTTGAGCCCGAGAGGGGATATTGAATGAATTAGGAGAAACCAACTGCCAACATGGGTAGTAATTAGGGTTAATTGGCTGTCACGACCCGATTCGAAAATAAAGAATATTTGAGAATCTGGGTGCATGAATTGAAATAAATAAATAAAAAGACTGAAAAATTGGTTAAAATACATTACCATTATATATATAATTATAATAATCTTACAAGTGTACAAAATATAAATAAAAGTTTATCACTCTAAACTAATCCAACTTCTTTGGTTTCGGCTTTGTCTTTCTCACTAATCGATTTGAAAAACAAAATAGGTGAGGGATGAGCAAACCACTCAGTGAGTAGATTATGTAATAAGCCAGCCGAGCAATGTCATTTTACACACTCTAGAAAAATATAATAAAAAGATACACAATCCAAATCATATCACAGCATACTTAATATCTTGGTTATCCTTCACAAATTGTACCCAGTATGTGACCCATATCGGCCTCACTGCATATGTCCATGAATAATACATACTTCATAAAAACTCCAAATAATGTATATTGTGTGAAATATTGCACAAATTAGACATGCTTGACTTGAAAATAGATAGAGATTTGTAAATAGAATAAACCCATGATTTTCACATTTTTCACAAAATAAGAACTTTTAGAACATATTACATAACCCACTCATCATGATAAGTATGAAATATTGCAAGACAAACACACACACTCTTCATCTTTCTTTTTCTTCCTTATCTCTCTCTCTCTCTCTCTATCTAACACTACTTCATGGTAGAAATCTATCCTAAAGGATTAGAATGAATGTTTGAATTAAGGAAGCATGATACTTATAGGAGAGGCTATGGATGCACCCAAATAATATTTATATACACAATATTTTAAACCACCAAAAGAAAATATAGAAAAGTAAGGGAATAATGTGACTCATCCCCCTTTGACCAATGATATTACAACACCACCACCAAACGATAAGATAGAAAGGTAGGGAATAATATGACTCATCCCCCTTTGGCCAGTGATATCACAACACCAACACCAAAAGATAAGGTAGAAAGGTAAGGAATAATGTTAGTCATCCACCATTGGCCAATGCTATCACAACATCACTTGTTATTAGCATGTAGGGTGGCATGACAATGATGATTTGATTAAAACCAATTCTAAGTCTCTACACATGGATAACAAGAATGGTGTCATCTTTCAACTAAAATTATAATCTCATACTAAGCTTAAGATTTTATAACATATAAGTCTTCACAATAAATATTTAAATAAGAAAAATTTATATTAATAAATAATTCATATGTAGTATGAATAATTATTTAATATATATATATATATTTTATAGGTTCTCACATTGGTTATAAGAATTAAGTGGAATTGGTTATGGTAAAATCGGATGCTCTAGTGTCTCATCAACTTGATTTTCCACTGTTAATTAAATTGCTATTTTTCATATTTGTTTTAATTTAGTTTAATAAATCAATTGTTCAAATAAACTTCTGAATTAATTATAATTGGTACTTAAAAGGAAATTACAGTCTTCGTGGGAACGACACTTCACTTATCTCTATATTACTTGTGCGGATTGTGCACTTGCAATAATTTCACAACACTTGGGGCGCAAGTTATTATTAAATTATTTAAAAACCATAAATAAATAAAAAATTGTTTATAACGAATTGTTGTAAACCATAAAAAGTTAATGGTTTTGAATGAGTTTGAGATTTCAGGCTATTCATTCTTTATAGCTTAAAATAATTTACTATTTTAATTTAGTTAATTTTACCAACCAAACCTTGTATAAATACATAAGTTATTCATTGAAATGAATCAAGTAATTCTAAAAGCAGAACTCAAAGAAGTTCCTTAGTTTCTTCCTTTTGTTTCTCTAATTATCTTGAAATTCCTCGCATTCTCCTGGACTTTGGGTCTGAGGAAGTTTTGGTCACTCACCCTAGGAACTAATCTAAGAGTTGACAAAAATTGATTTAAATATCAATATGTCATGATTTTATTACTTTTATTGTACAAAATATTAATTTAACTTAAACAAAAAAACAAAAACTTAAAAAAAGAAAAAAAATACTCCAACCAAACACATATTCTCTCTCAGAAAACCAAGAACATGTTCTTCCTCCATTGTCATTCACAACTACTTTCAACTCCGGCATTGCATACGAAAATCAAGAACACGTGTTGTTTAAGATTCACTCTAATTTTTATTGGTTATCTATTTCATTTCTTGATTTAGATTCAAATATTCAATTTTTTAAGAAACAAAATAAAATTTATGGACCCAAATTCGGAGCCATCAAGTCGGTTCACACTTTAACTTGATTGAATTTCAAGAACCCATAACCAAGTCACTTTCCTGTTGTTCTCTGCCTTTGTGATCAATTTCTGTTTATAAATGTTAGATTTGAATGATTCATGAACTCAATTTGGGAAAACTTCAATTTTTAACAAATAAATTTTGGGTTTTTTTTTCTTTCCAGTTCATGAACCTAGACTTGGGTTTCTGCAACTATACTGTATTTTCATGAAAGGTTCATGTTTTCTCATTCACTGGGCATGAAGGAGAAAGATGACTGGTGTCGGAGACAACAGTCTTAGATGCGGATGAGTTTTTTGTTCATGTTTTTCATCTCTCATATTAAACTCTTTTAAAAAAAAAATTAGTTTTAATAACCAAAATAGTATTTTACTGCAGTAAAAGTAAAATAAAAGATAACATATTGATATTTAAACCAGTTTTTTCTCAACTTTTAAATTAGATCCAAAGGTAGGTGACCACAACTTCCGTGGACCATAGGGTCGATGAGAATTAGATTGAATTCTTGTAACCAAAAGCAGTATTTTTACTATATTGACACACCCACCCACCCACCCAACCTTTAGTACATTCCCCTTTAGAGCACTTCCACCCATTTACCATGGCAAAGGGTAAGAGCAAGTAAGGGCGATTACTATTCACGTGGATAGTATATGCCCTAACAATTTGTTTTTTGTGCTTTTCAACCCATTGCCATGGCAACTTAAGGGCAATTACTATTCACACGAGATTAATTTTATTTATATGTGTGAGATTAATAAATAAAAATTTTCTAGGTATGTATATAAAAAAAATATTCTGAATTTTTTGGTAATTTTTTAAAAAAATTTCTTCACTGATGTCAGCGCCTTCAAACAACAATTCGGACTATATTGCTTGCCCGAGCTGGATGTCACCGCTGGGATAGCAAGGGGCCTTTTGCCTGGGCTGGGCTGTCGGCTGGAACTGCTCTTTCGCATATCCATTTATCACCCGAATCAATTCGTCCAAAAAATTCCTCTCCGAGCCCAATATCTTCCTTCCCCTTATGCCAAGATACCAAGAATCAAACGTGGGCTCATCAGCTATAGCACTCTCCCTAGTCCCTCATGTGCCCTCGAGTGCTCGTCTGCTCGTCTGCTGTCGGCGGTCAGGTACTGTTCTGTAGCAGCGACGTCGTCTATCAGGTACTGTTCTCTCCTCCGAAACTGAGTCGTTAAATCTTTCGATTAGTTATGAAATGAGACTGTCATACATTTATTTTCATTCCCGCATCTAATGATGATTTTGCATTCAACAGGGTGCAAATTTGGCTATCCAGTCGATTTGTTAATTGCCGATGGCTAGCTCTCTACAACGCTTCTCCACCCGTGCTTGTGTTTCTCGAACCACTATTGTCCAAGGGTCAAAACCATTCCTGGTGGACGCGGTCGGGATTCTCCCTACTATTCCAGAAGAAAATTGTCACAGTGAGGTACTATCATCTCTTTTTCTTTCCAAAATTTAATTCGATCAACTTATATTTTGGCCTACTCTTCAATGGGGCATACAATCCCTTTGTTTTGATGGAGTAATCTTTTGTGTGTTAGGGAAACAGTTTTTGGTATGCCAATCCACTTGGGCATTTGTGCAAATTGTTATATCTGTGTGAAAATAACAAATCTTGGGGCCTGAACTTGTTCTTTTTCCATGAACCCACAAGTTTTTCATAGTCACCACACCATTTTCTACTTTCTCAGAAGGGACTGTGCTTGGTAATATCTGTTACTCTTTTCTTTTTCCTTTTAATTCTCATGTTGGCATACATGACAGGTTGTAATAGGCTCACCTGCTAGGACTGCAACTCAACAAGGGTCAGGGTAAGTTTGCGAGATCGAAGTATGTCCTTTTTGCTGTTTACCGTTTTCATTTCTTTCCTGTTGAATATTTGGGTTTTGGGGTATTGGAATTTGCTTTGAGCCTCAGGATTTTCTGTGTTTGGGATATGTTCTTTTGTGGTTAAGAGCAGTATATAGGTGTTATCCTTTTTGCTTAACATAATCTCGTGCACGAGAACTATGAAACTTATGATACAGTCTCATCGTGTATTCATCTAATGGCTGAAAATATGTGTAAAAAATGTGATGCCACCCACTAGAATACCACTAGAATATGCATGGATGTATACACATATTATCATAATATATATTCTAATGATGAAAAATGTTCTATTTCCAGACTGTCATATGCATCTGTCTTGAAATATACATCTGGCAGCAGAACATTATTCCTCTAATATATGTATATATAGATATATGTATGTATAATTGTATATAATATTAGGAATACCATATTCAGATTTTGCGCAGTAACAATAATCAAGCCACTCTTCTTAAATTCAGTACTGAGACCAAACTACTAGACATTTAGAGTTTTTTTCCTTTCTTTTTGTCATATTTGACTTTGAGAGTTTAACTGCAACCTTTTAAACTTTCCAAAACCCTTGAAATAATATCAAAGGTTCCTGAAATGTCCAACGTAACCACAAAAGTTCTCTGCAGGTCCCTATCAAGATTTGCTACTGCTCTTTCTCGCCCTTTCAGCTCAGCCACTACAGCAAATGAGACTCAGACTCAGAAGCTTGAGCGCATCGCTGACGAGCTCCTCAACCTCACAAAGATCGAAAGGCACGATTACTCCATCCTCTTCAGGCTGAAAATGGGCCTCAATCGGTATGGCCCGGCAATCTCTGGAATTGGCCCGTCATCTTCTGAATCCGGGCCTGCCTCCACAGATGCCAAGGCTGTTGAGAAGACTGCATTTGATATAAAGATTGAGAAGTTCGATGCAGCGGCAAAGATCAAGATCATAAAGGAGGTTAGGACTTTCACTGACTTAGGACTGAAGGAGGCTAAAGAGTTGGTAGAGAAGGTCCCTGTTGTGGTGAAAAAGGGCCTGACTAAAGAGGAGGCAGGGCCCATTGTTGACAAGCTTAAGGAGTTGGGCGCTACTGTGGTATTGGAATGAGATGAGTTCTGTCCTTTTGTTTTGCTTTTCAGTTTATTTTATTTTATTTTATTATATTTTAGTTTTTCTCTCCCCATAGATTAGTGACAATGAGTTAAATGATAAATGGAGACAATATTTTTTAGAGTGTGTTGAATTGGGACTCTTAAGTTTAGGGTTAGGATGGTTCCTAATTATTCCCTCCACCTAATGGTTTACTTTTGTTATTGTCTTTCATATGATTCACCCTTTTTCTTATTGTTATATTATTGACCTAAAAATCAGCAGATTTGCTGAGAAATGCTATGTTTATGGCTACTTTTGAAGTTCTTGTCAAGATTGGGATTTTAGGACTTATGCTTGAAGCTTGTGATTAGTTTGTGTCTGGTGCTTAGTTTGTTTAATGGGACTCTCACCATCACACAAGGACTAGGGATCACCATATAGGCTGATTATTTCACTGTCACAACCCTCTTGGACTTATAATTTCTCACGTACGGAACATTCAGCGTTTTCTTTTTTTCTTCATGAGAAATCGATGGATTTGGTTTGGTTGATTGTCTCAGCTGCTCGTAATTGCCAATTTTACCATTTTTGGGTTTAGGTATTCTTTTTATATTTTATATTACGGTTTGAACTTCGAACCTTCTTCTAACATTGTAGAAGAGAAACAGTACGAGACTAGTGGCTAGTTAGAGAGGCATTTAGGTATTCAAACATGGACAAGCCAATTTTTGCCTATCCATGGTGAATACAATAAATCCAGGAACTTCAAACATGCATGTGAAGGGATCTTTCAACCCTTTTCAGCATCATGCCCTCATCTCTCACTGCTTCAAAGCAGGCAAAGATGCTCATTTTGGGAGAGTGTTGTGGCTGAGGCGGGGTTAGCCTTGTATTGTCATAGCTAAAACTTAGTCAATTATAGTTTGATCAAATTTTAATATATTTTCATCAGCAATGGTCTCTGAACTGTTACGGACTATCAATTTGGTCCTCGAATTTCAAAATCGATCCACATTGTATGTCATGCATCAATTTAGTCCCCGCCGTCAAATTTGTTTCCAACTTTTTGTTAAAAACGATTGCGAGCGGAGAACACGACCACAATTTTGAGTGTAAAATGGCAAATTAAACATGTAAAAACAAAAATTACAAAACAGATGACATCCCAGCTTGAGCAACCACAGAAGTAAATGGAAGCAAAAATCAAGAAGATAAATAAAATTTTATTTGACGAATACCGTACAAGTAATCCAGACAAGTACAACTGTACAAGAAACTTATTATTAATGCAAATCCCAAACTAATTAAGCTCATCTTAAGTTGAAGAGTCAAGTGAACCAAGCTGTTGAATTCTTTAATGAAATCGTATGACAGAAAACTAAAAGTAGGCTGCATCTATTCATCTGGAACAACACTGACTTCATCTTTCTCCAGCAATTCATAAAATGACCTGGTCTTCTTCTGCAAATCCCAGTGATACATTTTCCAAAAGCTCCCAGCAGCAAAAGCAATCACAAGACCAAAACACATCTCCCTGATCACGCTTGGTCCTTTCAGGGTGGGATGAGCAACCCTACCTGCCATTTTTCACTTAAATCTGCAATTTCAAAAACAAAACAAATAAGTTAATTATAAAGTATTATCATTTCCCTGATTTTCAATCGAATCTTTCATAATTAAGCTTTTGATCCCCAAATTACTTGTTAAGGTTGGTTGTACTGTCTATCTAAATCAAATGAAACTTGTGACAAGACAATTTGTTTTTAACTGAAGTTTTGTCCCCCCCACATAATGCTAGTCATGATAAATTACTTCGTTTCAAGCATGAGCATGTAAGGAATAATGACAGAATATGAAAAGAAAAAAGAAGAGAAAAAAGGGGCAAGTGGTTTTAGGTCTGAACTTGTGTGTGAGAAAACCTCAAAAAATAAAAATAAAAAAAATTAATAATAATAAAGAGAAGAAAAGAACCATATACTCATGTCATCCAATTTTACAAAATAAAAGAAAGAAAAGGAAAAAAAAAATCACAATACATAATTATTCCCCATTTTTTCTCAATCACAAACTATCAATAAATGCCAATGGGTTTCCACCACTAGAGCCGGCCCATGGCATGTGCGGGTTGTGCGATTGCACAGGGGATAGGGCCTCCAAAATTTAGGGTCCTCTAAATGTTTTTAAAAGCCCAGGATTATGTTATATATTTTTCGCTACTTTTCGTTCTAAGCAAATTTTTATTCCAAAACATTATTTTTTGTTCCTAATGTGCAATTTTTGTTCCAACCATTAACAAATTAAAAAAAAAATACTCGTGAGTCATGCGTGCGTGTGACGTGCTCTCCTTGCTATTCCCAAATTGCTCATTTGGACCCAAATTCACATCTTCTCAACTTCTTCTTGACTCTCCCGTCCAATTTTATTTTTCTTCTTTACTCTTTGGCAAGGCAAAAAGAGTGCTATGCGTCTCTGCTCCTCCACTACACCTCTCTCTCTCTCTCTCTCTCTGATATTAGAATTTAGAAATTATGTGTTGCTTTTGGAATTAGCCATCATATGATTGCAAGAAGAAACCTAAAAAATCAGGTGAATCTCTATCCCTAAAGAAAATTTTGAAAACTTGTTATTTTACTTATATATATAGGGCCTCATCAGCTCTCTTCGCACACAGGGCCTCCATATCTAATGGACCGGCTTTGCTCACCATAGTAGTGGTGGATTCCCCTCCCTTGTATGGCACCTAGAATCAAACCCCAGTAGAGTTTCTTTCCTCCAATGTAACCCAAAAAAAACTATCAATAAATGGTGAAATTAACTAATGAATTCGTAATTATCTAAAAGAAAAGAAGTCTTCCTCCTTTTGTTTATTTGTTACTTACAATTCTTTATATTTTAATTTTCTAGCAGTAATTCTTAATTTCCACTCTTCTAAGCAAGGGAACACGACCGACCATGTGGGCAGAGATTCCAAATCTCCAAACACCCGATGAATATTTGTGTAAAAACCCCTCTCCCAATCGCTTCTACTTAAAAAATAATAATATTAACAAAAAACTAATAATTTGGGTTGCTAAATAGGGATACATCATACCAGAAAACAAATATTAATGATAATATACACACATAAATCACCTCAATCCACGAAGTGCATAAAATTTAATCAATTCCTCTATAGAGTGCTTGTGCTTAGTGTGATTTGATTTGAGGACACGAAATAGAAATTTGAACAAAAAAATGGACAGCAAAATTAATAAACCAGATTTGTATTTACAAAATTGGAATAAAAATCAGATTTGTATTTCCTCTATAAATCTACTTGTGCCTGTGCTTAGTGTGATTTGATTAGAGAGAGAGAGAGAGAGAGAGAGAGAGAGAGAGAGAGAGAGATACCTGAGGAAGATGGGAAGAACAAGCAGCTACACACGCTAATTTCACCTTTAACCCAAAATTAATTCCCTTTTTGGTGAAAAACTTCAACCCAATATTACAAGTAGATTTATAGGCTAGTTATCAGAAATCCCCAACTGACTGGCTAACTATTAGTTAGCTAAATACCTAGTCAACCCCTTCATTATAGGCTTGAGATATGAAATTTCTGTTTTAAACAGATGATGTTTTTGTAAATAATATTATCTTATATTTATATTTTCATCACTAACTGGAATTATATCTTGAAATCTTGTACCCACCATCACAGAATAAATTCTTTTGCACACTTTTTTTTGGGTATGGAGAACCTGTCATCATGAGCTTCTTTATTTTAATTTTAATCTTTTAAGAAAACATTTGTCACACCTATCTGAAAGATGGTGAATTAGGAGAATATGTTGTTGCTTCTCCTGTTCATCACATTCCTTGCAAAAACAGAGACATAATTGTATTTCACAATAAATCCCCATGGCATGTCACGTGTTGTTACAAATCCACAATGAGTACGAGTCTAGGATTGACCATTTAGAATACAGAATTTAGATGTACAAATATTATAAACTCAGTGCACATGTACGTCCGCTAAAAGTAACGTATAAAAGGAGACACACTGAATGCCAGTCTCAATCTTAGAGCTAGAATTGCGGCATATGATTGTCATCCTTCAGAACAACTGTGCAATGTAATGAAACAAAACACAAATTTTGACCTTTCATCGAAAAATGATGGATTGGTCTGCCTCAGATAATGTACAAAGTTGAGCTGCCTGCTGTTTGGCTGATCCTCTTCTTCCCGTTCGGGTTTGGTTGGCCCAGAAGTATTGTAAGAAGGAATGGAACTACAGGAGAGTCATCTGCAGTTCACACTTGGACAAAGACGACTTAGTGTTGAAGCGGAACACAAGCCACCTTCCAGGCTCAAGGTTAGCACTAAAGTAGGCAAGCTGAATAAGGTAAACTTGTGGAACTCGATTTACAGTGTGCTTATCATCCTTTACATTAAAATGGTAAACTTGTGGAATAAAATCCAACATAACTGGGTTTGCAGGGAAGAGCTAGGTGTACTAGAGATCAAGTAATCATATGAAAACAAAAGTTTCTAACCTTAGGCATCCTTCAGGTCGATATTAGCAGGGGAACACATCCTCATGCAGATTTCTTTAGCCAGTTCATTCCTGCAATTAGTCCACATTTAATTTGGTCTAGCCAAAGTAACATTCCAAATAAAGCAAATAGAACCATTGAGACAGTAATGCCTTCTAAAACAATCACATTATGACAAACAAAACATCTAATCATGGAAAGATTTTGCAGAAATTGGTCAACTCATATCAAGAAAGCTGCAGAGTCTGAGGGAAGAATCTAACTATATCATCTTTAAAATTTCAGGCAATGTTGTTACTGCACCTAACCAAAATGAAGCCATTTTTCCATAAAATAAGAAAAGGTAATGAACTAGAATACATTACATCATCTTCTTGAAAAGCAGCAAGAAGTCACCAGCATGCCTTTCTTGACAACATGCTATTTTCCAACAGCAAAACTGGTTAAGCCAACTCAGGAGTTTAGCTTTAACCAGAGCCAGTTACTCAAATTTTCAAAATCGGTCAAAATTCAATTATATGGCACCATTCCCTTGACTTCAAAGCTATAGATCACGAAGTTCAATTTCTTTCATGCTCTTAACAATGTCTTCAACTCTTACAGAGATATATTCAGCATGTTCCTCAAGGTCCTTGAGAATCATGCATAACTGTTGTTGGAATGCTGCAGATCGATCTCTTTCACGCTGGAGCTCATCATATAGATCCTGGATTTTTTTATCCTTCTCTACCTGCAAATATGTTGTACAATTCAAAATTAGAGGCTAGTACTAACAGGGTTAAAGCAAATTAGAGAACTATCTTAGAATCACACTAATTGAGCAAAATATATTATATTATGACGAAGCTCATTGGAACCACATGTTAATGAGCTTACATAAAAACGGCGTGCAATTATTAGTGTTACTTGTATATTCTTTCTTATCGTAATGTTCATCCAGTATATAAACTATACTCTACCTAAGCTATATCTTCAAATCAATTTACCTTGTCGACCAACCCAAACATGACCTAATAAAAATAATGAAAACCATATCTTAAACGACTGAACAAAGAGCAATACAAGACCACAAGGGCAGTTTCGAAACAATTCCCTGAAGAATTGACTTAGATGAGTAGCTTCTATTTGCACCCACAAACTAGCTCAACACACCAAGCTTCAAAAAATGATTGATAATGAAAAAAACAAATTAATTTCATTGATTGACAAGCTTCCTTTTCCCAATCATGTTCAAGGTATGGCATCAAAATGGATGGATAGAAGGATACTTGCCACTTGCAAGTACCATTATAAGAGCTTCGAACTCAACTGTCCACCTAAATCTTCTCTTTGGTAATTAGACTTGTTTTCATATTAAACATATTAACCCTAATAGTCAAACCTATATTCACACATACATGACCAAGCACTGCACTGAATAAGGTGTAATTGTTTACTTAGCAACTTGCACCTGCAGTCATTGCATATCATCACTGAGCTCTGTTTTTTTAAATGAAATTATTCTTTGTGTATATTGGGATTCAGTCAATCGGACCACATGTTACTTGGAGTTGCAGTCCTTTATCCTAAGCAAAATATCAGCCTTTTTCTTTTCTTCTATTTTTATGCAGACTTTAAAGTAGAATCTGTGAAGACCCAGTGGACATCTAGTGAATTGGCTACAGTGCAAGTTTAGAGTACAAAATAAGGCACATCATATCACTGTCAACCACATGTTAAATGTTATGTACAGGTTACAATGCCTTACAATATAAATGGTCAGAGACATAAAAGCCAACCGTTGAAAGCTAAAGTTAGAGAATGCATCAATAACTTCCAGAGAACTGATGAGCTTTGCGCTTGAGAAAAGTAAATCAATTAAACTAGCAAGATCATCCACACTAAGTGAAGATAGCAAGTTAGCAACTGAAGAACAAGGTAGATATGATAAGTGTGTTGAAGCAGTAATAGTTGTACAGTGCAGTTTTTGTCACATGAATTATTTTAAAGATGAATTCAACCAAGCATACTCCTGCCTGAAAAACAGGACAGCTTCAAACGAATCCTTTCGTAAACAATTCCAGAATTGGAAATTAATATACTGAGTTACATTGAAATTCATACCAAAACAAAAGTTACACCAAACGAATCCCTAAAACTATTTGTTCAGTTATATCTCAGACATACCTCGCTGAGTATATTGATGATTGGCAGCTCCCCAGGAAATTTACAATGAGCCATTAGTTTGTGGTTGTGCTCTCTTATGAACTTGGTAACTATCCATCTTCCTTCATCCCTTGCTGCCAACCTTATCATGGCTTTGCACCCTTCTCTTGTGATTGGGCGTGGAGGAAGAACCCTGTCTTTTCGAAGTGTATGCTTTGCGGCACGAAAACCTTCTCTTGAACAAACAAAGTCCCGGCCTATTATAGCCATGTTCTTTAACGAGTGTCGGATTCGATTTGTTCGAATGGTGAAACCTGTGCGCTTTGCATATTCATAATAGAAATCTCTTGCATCATCCAATGACTGAAAACTCATCCCAGTGGATGGTTCCATTGAAATCAGACCATCATTTACAAAATTGCAATGCTGCAGTGGCATGTCATCTTCCACAGAGTAATTATGTTCATGAAAACTTTCAAAAGTTTCATCATCAGAACCACCATCACTGTCTAGAAATTGACGTCCACCATCACCACCCTCCATTGTATCCTACTTCCTACGTATTTTGGTAAGGCAATAAGAACAAAAGCGGATTACAGAAAACCCATGTTTACAACTTTGCAATGCTCAAAACTATAAATTGACACCAATATGATAATCTTCACAAAAACCCAGAAACAAAAATGAAAAACAATTACCTAAACTAGATGTTTCCCGCAAAAAAATAAAACAGCACTTACCGTGGAAGGCTGAAGCTGGATTTGATCAAAGCCTTTGATGGCGTTTCTTGCTTTCTTCTCTGTTTTGCTTGAGTGCCAGGTATTGATCAGAAGAAAAAGCACGAATCTCAAGGCAGGATGCTGGGGTTTACTAAGGGTAAATGCGTCGGCGTGGTTCCAAGTCCAACTACAGCAAAGATGGTGATTGGTGATGACTGAGGAGGATTTGGGTTTTCGCAATGCTTCAGGGCCTAAAATTCACCAAAAATTCATCGTAACTCCGAAAAATTCAACTAAAAGATGCTACAGACTCTTTGAAACATTCGCTTTTCATTCTATGAATTCAATTTGAACCCAATAAAAATTTCATTCCTTTTTTTTTAATTTTATAATAAGGAGAAAGACTTTTATTAGATCAATATGAACAACAGTGCAATGGACACAAAATGGAAAGGTAATATGATAGACATGGGCAAAAGTTACCCAAGTCGAAAAGCCGAAATGATACGGAGAAAATCACTCTAGAAAATAATTTTTGTATAACCCCTCCCAACCACTAATATTTACACGAATCTAGTTCAATAACATTAAGGACAAAAACTAGCCGTTAGCCAGTATGGCTCTCTTAGAGAGACTAAGAACGCCCAAGAAACTCAACTAAGTTTCTAAAATCATAAGAGAAAAAAATACAAAAAACTCGTTGAGTTTTTGGACCTTATTGAACAAACTAAACCAAAATAAAAATCTAAAACAACACCCGCAAGAGGAAAACCAACTGCTGCTAATCTTCCTTCAGGACATGACATAGAGAGCAGCACATAGTTACTCCACGGCCGCAGTGCACCAATGAACAGTGGATCTATCGTGACCAAGCCTCAACACCTCAAAGAGTATCCTCACAACATGAGGCACAACCAAAGTCAGCCTGGATTAGAGACAATAGATCTTCCAAAAGAAGAGTAGATCAACATAAGTCCACCAAAAGCCAAACAACATTGAAGATACAACAAGATTCAGGGGAAAACCCCCACATCTAAAGCTCTCTCTCTCTCTCTCTTTTAGTGGCTAAAAATTTCATTTCTAAGTTTCACATTAATAGGTGTCACTTCAAAGTTTCATTATAACCAAACTAAGTTAAAATGAAAATTATGATTTGGGACTTGGGACTTGACACCTTAAGAAATCGAACACACTTGTTACCCCTAGACACCACCATGACTATCAAACTCGCACACATAACACTAAAATAATAACTAATACAAAACAAAAAATTGAACACTGTAAGTAGTATACCACACAACTTTTAAACAATTTCCTTTCTTTTTTTAACTGAAAACAAAAACCAACAAATTTGTTGTCCATTATCAAACGAAAAGTGAAAACTAAAAAGTGAAGTGATTATCAAATGAGTCGTAAGCTAATATAATGTTGTCATGATGAACCTTAAACGGCTTACAGGTTAAAACCTAAGAATAAATGCATAAACTAAAATCTAATGCACCTTGTGTTAGAAATATGTCCTAAAGTCAAACATGTGATGTTGATTTCTGGATATTTAACCATCACTAATGGGCAACATCGTTGTTTTCAAGCATGTAATATGGTCTATTATCATAACAGTAAAATAACAAGTCCTTGGAATATCAAATAGTATGAGAGCTATGCAATGAGATTGGATATAATGAGACACTACATCAATTGGGCATTGACCATCCGCAAAGACTGGTGCACACTACATCTGCCCAATTGAGAGAATGACTAGTCTCAAGTCATTGCGTGTGGAGACACTAAGATAAGTGTGTAGATGCTTATAGGGACAAGTACGTTGAACGCGATCAAACAACCATGAGTTCTAATATGGAAGTCTTACTCAGATATCAAACTAGAACTCATAAGTTGAAATAGTGCAAACTAGTTCTCAGACTTGAGACATCATAGTTGTCTTTGTTAGATATATGCCCTAGAAGCCAATATAAAATTGAAAAATTCTAAGGATATAATATAATAAATACAATCAAAAGGGCGTGAATGTTTCTTTAAGAAACATAATGTATACAAAGTAACAAGTCCATGGATAAGGATATAAATGGAAACTAGTATAAAGAAGTTAGACTCACAAGACCTTTCCAACACAAGAATATCGTATCCTAAAAGGTTCCTCGTCATAGGATCACCAATTGGACAATGATGATCCGCAAAGACTGGTACACATCATGTCTGCTCAATTGGGAGGATGACTAGTCTCAAGTCATTCGTGTAAAGACAATGAGACAGGTGTGTAGGTGATCTATAAGGATGGAGTTCACTAGACACGATCAAATCAAGAATTCTTGTATGGAAGTCTTACTCACAAGTGTCAAACAAAAAATTCTAAGTTGCGATAATGCAAGTTGGTCCTCAGACGTGAGACATTACAGTTGTCTTGTGTAAAAGTTGTTTGTCTTTGAGAGCACAATACAGTCGTATCAAAAAGATGTGACTTGAAGGTGTTCCTCAGGATACTCAACATATGCATAGAGGCATGTGAATATACAACAAGGAATCTCTACTGTTAGTAAGAAGAGAAAATACTCTACAGATATCATTCGTCGAATCTTTGGCCAAAGTATAGGATGAGAATTGAAACAAGAATGTTTGCAATACATCCAAGTGAATCATATAACCTAGAAATGTCGTGTGAGGGGATTTGACACGAGTTAACCATATTCCAACAATACGACATAAAGTATTATGTTAGAGAATGACTGAATTGCATTGCAATCACAAACTGACTAACCTGAGGAAGGTGTTGAAGAGGCAATTGCGAGAAGATGAAGAAATCAGGCGCAGACGTGTTAAAGAAGATCGTGAGTTGGATGAAGAGGAGGAATAAATTGTTTTAGCAGTGGGTATGCTCAATCAATCAAGGCAACACCACCGTGGTTTGGCCTAAAGGTGGATAGACATAGGCACTCTCAAGGTAAGAATATCTTGGAAGATTACTTTATCCCAAATTCGTTATATCCCCGTTTCCTATTTTCGAGAGAGATGTAGAATGCAACCCCATTTATTCCAAAAAATCATGCATGAAATTTGCAATTATGACACATACTTTGTTCAAAAGTACGATACTCTTGGGGTTTTGGGTCTTCTTCCAAAGCAAAAACTAACAGCTGCTTTGCGGCTGCTTGCGTATGGGGTATCTATAGATCAGGTGGATGAGATTGCTAGGATGGGGAAATCAACTATCCTAGAATGCTTCGTCAGATTCTGTGATGCAATAGAAACTCTCTACATGAGGGATTACCTCCACAAAGCTAAGCCTAAGGACCTCCGAAGGCTTCTACAAAAAGTCAAGGCTCGAGGTTTCCTAGGCATGATTAGAAGCATCGACTGCATGCATTGGCATTGGAAGAACTGGCCAACTGCTTGGCAATGAGATTATAGGAATAGGAAGAGCCAAAAAAGTATAATTCTGGAGGCCGTTACATCATTCGATACCTGGGTTTGACCTGCCTTTTTCGGAGTTGCTGGATCTCAAAACGACCTCAATGTTCCTGGTCAATTCCCGGTATTCAATTATGTCTTGAGAGGTCATTCCCCCCCAGATCACGTATCAAATCAATAATACCATATACTCGGGTGCGTACTACCTAGCCGACGGAATTTATCCGAGTTGGACGACATTCGTCAAAGGAATTCTGAATCCCTAATTGGAGAAGGAAAAAAGCTTTGCTGCTTTTCAAGAGGGTTATAGGAAAGATGTGAAAATGTGTTTTGGTATCGTGTAAGCTCGTTGGGAAATTATTAGGGCTGCTTGTATGTTTGATGAAGAGGTGCTTCAGAGCATTATGATGACTTGCATCATCCTCCATAACATGATAGTGGAGGATTAGTATGATTATGATGCCCTAGAGATGTTCGAACCCAATCCTGTGAATGGCTCATGGGAGCAAATGAACAACCACTGGAGCACGAACTGTTGATTAGGGTCGATACAACAACCTTATGATTGACCGTTATCAGGAAATGCAATATTCTTATGTTCACGAGAGACGTCAAGTTGACTTGATCGAGCACTTATGGGAGATGAAATGCAATCATGATGGATGAAGTCAAGTTTAATGCTTTGTTTAGAATTATGTTTTGTTTTTAATTATGCTTTGTTTTATGTGTAGTTTGTAATGAATTAAGGTTTGTTTTGATGTATGAAATGTTTTTAATAAATAGCTATATTATTTAATGCTTTCTTTATTCAATAAAAGAGAAACAATACAACAAATTAATACATATGACAACTCTTTCAATACAACCTAATGGTTTTGATCATTTAACCAATTTGTGTTGCTAGGTCCATCGTCATGGAAAAGCTTTTTTCTCATACATCCTTTCATTTTAGCTTCCAATAAGACTTTGTTTTAGGAGACATGTGGTTTGTATCCATGGTCATGATTTTCATCTATCTGTCCTCCATGTCTTGTTCTTGTGCTTGCTGCCTTTCAATTGCATATGCATCATATCGTGCCTTGTCTGCTTCTTCTCTTTTCAAGTCTCTCTCAATTCTCAGTACGCCGTTCTTAGCAATTTGCCCCTAAAATTTTGCACATTTAGTGTTCGAAGTGCTCCCTCTCTTGGCCTTTGCCTCCTTTCTCCCAATAGGCCTCAGCTCACGTTGGATTGGTGACTCTTGATCCATTAGGGAGTCTAATGGCGAATCGGTTGCCGGTGATTCATGGAGCAGCGTCTCATTCAACACAATCATTGGGCCAGTGGAAATAATTTTGAATCTTGAACAATTCTTCACAACGTCACAACATTGGTGATTGATGCAACTTTTTTTTGCCTTGGCCAATGGCACCGAACCACATTGTGCTTGAATAATCTATTAAAAAGAAATTGGAAATGCAACAAAAAAAAAAATTGGTGACATTAAATTGAATAAAACGGCATTTATAAATATTTTACCTCGTCGGCAAGATTTTGACCGCTCCGAATGTTGTCCCTCGGTTTTGCCAACCCATCTCTCCATTTCCCTAACTATTTATTCAAAATTTTCCACCTACTAGTTAGTGTCATTTCAGTATGAGTCGAGCCTGATCTTTCACAAAATTCTCCATGAATTTTTCTCCACATATGAGAGGACTTCATCTCAATGCTCGTGATTAGGCAATGACCAACTTTGACCCAACATGCACATGATAAAATATCTTTCACGTTTGTCCACACGCCTCCATCTTCAATGGAAGAGGCCATTTGATTTTTACACAAATGGAATTTAGTAATAGAAAAATTTTGTGTGGAAAGTGAAAAATATTGGAAGGAGATGAATTTATATGAAGATTTGGTGTGGAACGTGAATAATATTGGTAGGTATTTATAGAAAAAATTTCTAGAATTTTTTGATATATTTTTTCAATTTTTTTAGCTAAAAAATTGATAGTCATTGGATTTGACAAGATTTTTGGATTGGTGGCTCCAAGAGAAGCCACATGGCTTGTAGCCGTTGGTTTTTGGCAGTTGTGGGTTAGCACTGATGTTAGTAGCCCGAAGGCAAGATGACGGGCCAGATCTCCCCTTGGGCTTGCCCGGGCTCGTGGATCCCACGCATTGCCCTAGCTAGATGTTGCACACTAGAGCTGCTCCTTGGGCCTAGGGCCCCCTCCTGCTTGGGTTGGCCTCTTGCGCTAGAGATGCTCTCATGGTTCAAGTGTTTTAGTTTGTTCTTGCTTCGTGTTGGTTTTACTCAAAGTCAATTTGATGATTCTATGTTTGTTTATCAGGAACAATCGCATAAGATGATTTTACTTGTCTATGTTGACGACATAATACTCACTAGGAGCAGTCAATCACATTTACATGCCTTTATTGATATGTTGGGAGCTGAATTTGACGTCAAAGATCTTGGCAGATTACATTATTTCCTTCGCATCGTAGTTACCTATCACTCTAATTTTATTCATCTCAATTAGACAAAATATGCCCTTGATATTCTCCAAAAGAATCAACATGCTGGATTGTAAACCGATCTCTACACCAATGGCTTCTAAAGGCAGCCTCTCCCACACTGATGGAACGGCTTTGTCAGACCCCATTGTGTATAGACAGCTTGTAGGTGCTCTATATTACCTAACCATGATCCGTCCTAACATCTCATACGTCGTGCAACATGTTTCCCAATTCGTTAGTTTCCCCATTGATGTTTACCATGAAGTAGTGAAACGCATTCTGCGTTATCTCAAAGGCACCATTGGTCATGGCCTTCCTATTCGTCGTTCTACGGACTCCTCCTTGCTTGTTGCCTATTCGGATGCCGACTGGCAGGTTGCCCGGATACTCTCCGGTCCACCACCGGGTACTATGTCTTTTTAGGACCAAATCTAATTTCCTAGAGTGCAAAGAAACAATGCACAGTTTCTCGTTCAAGTGCCAAACTTGAGTATCGCGCCTCAGCCTATGCTTGTGCTGACACTATATGGATTCAAGGGCTCTTACATGAACTTCGGCATCCTATTACACATCATGTTATTCTTAATTGTGATAATCTCTCTGCCACATATCTTGCTGCCAATCCGGATTTTCATGCTCAGACCAAACACATAGCTATTGATTATCACTTTGTTCGGGAACGTGTTGCCTTGGGGAGTCACCGGGTTTGTTTCATGCCTTCTACTCACCAACTTGCCAATGTCTTCACCAAAGGATTGCCTACGGATCGTTTTGCCCGCCTTATTTCCAAACTTGTCTCCTTCCTAATAGTTACTCATACTAATGATAGAAAATGGTCAGTTGTCAGTTACGTTGTTATTAGGCTATAATTCTACATTTATGTTTATTATAATGACTTATTGTAACCGTAGATTGTTCTCAACAAACTTGTCTATATCTTGTATAATGATCTTGTGAATGATTAAGTGAAAATCAGTTTCTACATCTCCGCACTCATGTGGTGGTTGCTCGAGCCTTTTCCTCAGATATGAGGTTAAAATGTCTCAAGTTATTATTATTATTTTTTTTTTGGTGAAATGTCACAAGTTAATTTTGTGGCGACTTTGGTCAGTGGTTGCGGAAGTGGAGGCAGAAGTGGCGAATTTGGTGTGTTTTTGCTTTGTGTTGATTTTGCTGTGGTTTTAGTTTGAACTTCCATGTGCTTCTTGTCGTGTTCCTGTTTTTGGCCCTTTTGGCTGTTGTTTTCTACTCCCTGCATTTTGGGTTTTGAATGAACTTTGATTGACCAACACACCTTTTTTGAGCATCTCTGATTATTCCGAAAGCCACCTTCCACTTCATCTCTTCAAACCCAGTGCAATACCAAGTGAATGCCACAAACCCATTTAAGCACCGAAAGGATGCGATCAACATCCCCTTCGCAATTCATATAATATTTTCCTCCAACACTCTGATTGCATGTTGACAACACTAACTGCCAAAGGCCCCAACCAAATTCTCATTCATTTACTATTTTTCAACATCAAGCTTCAGCTTTTAACCCCTCTTCTCACACTCACTCTTCATACAAGTAAAAGAAAAGCCCAGAAGGCCTGCAAATCTCTGCAGTCTGTTTTCCTTTTGGCGACCATGATCTATGGTGGTGGAGCCATAGGCATAAATTGCAGCACAACGGCCTCACACCCACTAACAAAAACCAAGTAGGTGGAGCTGTTGACGTCCAACAATGTGACCAAGGTAGGGAGAGAGAGAGAGAGAGAGTTCAACCGAACCAACCACTCCACAAGGAGAAACATGAGCAAATTTTGGTGCTAAAACCCTGTACAGATTATTGAGCTTGCTAACCTAAACCCTAATGCAAATTGTCTTGTCATGCCAAGTTCGCCAAGTATAAGCATGTGTCTTACAGTAACAGTACTGTAAGGACTGTATGACTGACAAGTCCGTTTTCCTCAAGCTACAATATCTTTGATCTTCGGCATTAGTTTGATAATGCCAAACTCGAACAGAATGCTTACCTTTACATATTTGTGGTTGTTTGCAGTGGGTTTTGATTCTATTCTCTTGCAAGAAAAATTAAAATGTTACAGCAACAATTGAAAATTTGATTTGAGAGAAGAAAAAAAAATTAATACATTAAGATACAACATGAGAATGATCCGGGACACAATTCGACATATGATTTCTGCTCAATTTACTCATAAAGACTTCATCGAGCATGAGCATCTTGACCAGACATCAAACATCAGCTGCCAATTTTCTGGAAAATAATCAATTTTGTGGGACTAACTTTATCATCTTTGGGAACTTCAACCTAAACCATAGGTGAATTGCTAGTTGTTAGATGGCTCCTGAAAATGATTAATGGGCACTAAGTCCATCCACTATCTGAGTCCTCCGATTGTTCCTCCTCAATCTCTCTTATGCTCTGAACTATATCCGCCACTTTTTTTGACATGTGCTCTGTATGTTTTTCCAAATCTTTCAAAATCAAATTTAACTGTTCTTCGTATGCAGCGCAGCGTCGCTTACATTTTTGCCTCTCATTGTACAACTCAAGGGATAGTTCACGGATTCTTTTATCCTTCTCATCCTGCAAATTACAAGAGTATTAGGTCACTATGTTATTGTTTCAATTTTATGTTTAAGAAGGGTCACTACATTATTGTAACAATTAAGCTGCTGAACAATGAATCCTTTTGGATGTTTACTAAACTAATGGTTAATTCAAGACGAAACCAGGCTTAGTAACCCAGAATCCTGGTAACAATTCCTACAGCTCTTCCACATTTGAAAGCATTAGGATGTCATCCAACAATTATTTTCAAATCTAATACTTCCTCTCATGTGTCTCTCTACTCACATTAGAGGGTGCAACATGTTCAATTGAACTTATATTGGGAGGCTTGTATACTCAAAATCTTCTGCTCTGATACCGTGACAAGTTTTGTTCGTTTACCACTAGTTCCTAAAGCTTCAACTATTTGGACATTGATGAACAATTATTTTATAATCTAAAAGAAATGCCATGATCTGTGTTTATAATATTAGGTAGTCTGTTTATTCCAGTATTTAGTAGCAGTGAGTAAGTGGCAAATCTTCATATGTAAACATTTCATTCAGAATAATGTTGATAAAAAAATACTCCCCAACATACCTCACTTGCTAAGTGCTTTCCTGATCCCCGCCATGGAACCTTGCTGGGACTCATTAGTTTATGATTATGCTCTTTAACAAATTTTGTGACTACCCACTTTAGTCCATCTCTTAAAGCTAGCCTTATCATAGCTTGACAGCCCTCACGGGTTACTGGCGGTGGAGGAAGAACTCTGTCTTTTCTGTGTACATACTTTTTTGCACGAAAGCCTTCTTTCGAGCAAACAAAATCTTGACCAATAACCTGATTGTTTACTCTTGAGCGACGATTGTGGTGTATCCGTACAGTAAAACCGGATCGTCTGCCATATGCAACATAAAATTCTCTCGCTTCATCTCTTGAGTTGAACTCCATGCCTATATTTGGTTCTAAAGCTTCTATGTTCATAGGTAGATCTGCTGATGGTTCTGCTATCCCATCCTTTTCATCTAAACACAAGTCCAGGTTCTCAGAAAGCACATCTTCCATCCCTTCATTATTTTCATAGGTTTCAGCATGCATATCTAAGTCACTTTCGTCTGAATCAAATCCATGAACAGATTGGTGATCCATTATGTTCCTACAGGTAGAAAGAACAGAATTGACTTGTCAGTCTCACCCAAAATTAGGACAACCTCTTGAAGTAAACAATGTCGAATAAGTATTACCGATAAAATAGTAGGTCAACTTCTATTACTACTAAGTTAAAAGGGCAACAGATTTTTTTAAGTTTCAAAAACTCTGTATTGTCAATATGCTCCATTACCATTTCTTATAAAGAACAGAGTCTGAGGGAGATGAAAAGGAAAAGAGTCAAGGACTTACAAAAGCAATGCTTAATTGAATTTAGTTACATGTTTTCACATTTCAAAGTGAACCAAAAATAAATGCCAACCAACAAGCATTTATATAATATATGGAACACAATAACACAGTAATAGCAATAGATTAGCATGTAGCAAAAGAAAACTGAGCATGTAAAGTATAAGTCATGGGGAAAAACAAACACAGCAATGTTACTTCTACAACCAAGCAGGCAAAGTTAGTAAGACCTGAAAATTACCTGGCATTGCTACAGCGAGCACAAGAAATGGCTTGCATGAGAAAATATGATATAAAGCACAACAGACATGTAAAAATTTCAAATCCAAACAGAAAAAAAAGTCACAAACAATAGAGCATGAAGCATCTTATTATGAATGGAAAAACCATAAGATGAATATAGTAATGAAGATTTCATAATTTTATAATTAAAGTTTTGCCAAGCATAATGCCCATACAGGAGCTGACATGTTCTCATTTTAGTATAAATGAATGTCTCTGACAGTGGTGCAGTGCAGAACTATGTTAACAGAGAGAATCTATTAATAAGCGTAGGATCTACATTACAGAGGGCTGCTGATACATTGACCCCATGTTGCCACATTATTCGGTCTAAAGGGAACTATGGTCTTTAGTTCAGGGTTTCAAGCTGCTAACTGAGTAACTTTTACAAAGAAGAGGCGTAATTAGCCAAAAAGAACCAGCAGTTACCAAATTTTGTTTAGGAACAGTAAAGAAAACGGGTCTACATCCATAATTTTGGGTCTACATCCAAATTTTGTTACGAAGAAGAGGCATTGCCTACATCCATTCACCCCAACCCCTTTGTTGGATTTGATCATCCACTCATTATGAAAATGGGTCTCACAAGTTAACCTACAAACCCCTCCAATGCTAAGACAAGTCATGGTCAAACTCATTCTAAATCTCATTCTTACAGAATCTACAGTTAACCTTTAAACAAGTCTTGAGATTTATGTGCTGCTCCAAGCCAAACTCACCTATGCTAAGTGGGTCATGATGTGTACCTAACTTTGTATATTGCCGCATTTACTATATTCAGCAAAGGGGTTAACACAAACAGTAGGAAAAATGCACAGCAAAGAAAGGAAACATCACCTCTACAGCTCCAGATTCCACAAAATGAGGCAGTAAGAACCACTGAGTATCCAGAATGTGACTCAATCCTTGTTCATTGTGTTAAGAGAACTAAATTCCTTATGTGCAATGGAGGATTCATAGCTAAGAGTGTTCAAATGCAATATGAATCTCTCTTCACATTCTTGGTTTTTTCTGATGGGTGGTGAAGTGGATGAAAGTAGGTTGATAAGCAAAGAGAAGGTTTACCTTTGCATGAGAGAGCTTAGAGAATAGTTTATAGCACAATAATTGTTCAAGTACCATTTAGAGGACAATGTGCGTTCCAGAAGCAAGCTTCTCAAGTAAGGGCAGATAAAAGAGAAGCAGTTACTTGCAAAGATACCAGGCAAGCTCAGGACTAAGGCTGTTGAACTTCAACTTTGAAGTAGTGGAGTAGATCTTACCAACCTAATTTCGAAATGAAGAATTACATCTGTTGAAAGGAAGCACTCTTTTTTCCCATGACAATATTTTTTTAGTCTTTGTAAAGTACAATCAGCAAGTCTATTTCAAAAGCCGTCACAGTCTAATTGCAGTCTTTACCCCTAAAAAAATGTAGTTGCAGTCCAACAACACAATTTCAGCAGATACAGTGTAAAAGTAGTCACCCTTATAAAGACAGACAAGAATCAACCGGTGAACAGACCCCAACCGCTGTTTTCAAAGTATTTTTCTTATAATAAATGTGAATGCAAAATGTATCAACAAAGTTAGAGAACATAGGATACAACTAATTAGTAAGTACAATCCATTTCTTGAGACAAAATATCAAAGTAAATACACATTTTGTAAATATATATATGCAGAGTAAGGCTATAGTAAGCAACTTAAATATAAATAATCAGGAGCCGTCATATCTCTTCCTATGGTCAAAATTAAAACACTGACGATTGGAGTGTTCTAAGAGAATCCAGAAATGGGTTTTGCACCAAAGTTGGGAATTTGAATGAAGAAGAAACAATGAGGGAAATTTCTGCTTAAAATCAGCATCTAAACCTAGCAGACAAGTCCTTGAAGTAGTAAGATGAACAGGAAAAGCATCAAGAACCACAACAATTACTTAATTGTGATTGCATTACGAAACTGAGCAAGGGAAAGTAGAGAATAAAATGACAAACTGGCTTTGATGAACTCACCAAACACCAACACCAAGGTTTGAAGAAAGTGGAAGTCTTAGATCGATGTCCCCATGGCCACTCCACGAACCCAAGTGGTTAATTTTGCATCTCGTTGCTGGGCCCCACCGTTTCTAGGGCCCACCGGAGATGTAGAGAGAATGAACGGATACAGTGACTGAGAGATGCAGGTGGTGGAGGACTCGGAGGCAGAGGCGAAGTCAGCAACAGTTTCAGTTGGGGGGTTTATGCGAACATTGTTTTGTCTGGAAACTCAGAAGTTTCATAAAAATAGAAGGGAAATGACCCTCAGTGCCACCCCTTTGTTAATATTAACTAAAAATACCACCCATTCCCAATTTTTGTAAAACTATAACCTATAAATATAACATTATTGGCCACTTATTGCTGTCGCAGCTCTCTCTCTTGGCTCTCTCTCTCTGTAGCACAACTCTCTGTCTTTGTCTTTGCTCTCTTTCTCATACCGCAGCTCTTTCTCTCTCTAGCTTCGTTATGTCTCTTTCTCCCCATATTCGGTCTTGCTCTCTGTTTGGAATCGCGAACCCCTCCCTTTAGGTATGTCTTCTGAATAGCTG